ATATATATATATATAATGAAAAGCAAACCCAACAATAATACAGTAAAACCTAAGAATGACAGAATTGTTCAATATTTTTTAAAGGCACTTTTTAACTTACCTTTAACTAAAATTTTGTTAATGCTTGTGTAAGCAGCTGTGCATTAAAGTTACCACAGTAGGCCTGTGACTATGATTCTTAAAAAGCCCTGCTCACAAAGTAGACCTTCAGTGGAAGTCTGGGAGGGAATCTGACTCTAACAGCCAGCTAACTGATAAAGGATGTTCACTGTGCCTAGACTGTGTAAGTTTATGCTATTTATGCTGCATATTAAAAAGTTTATACTGAACACCTGCTTTCCTTCTGGAAATCTGGAATGTTTCTACATGCTGAGCAAAAAATGCCAATGTGAACAAGACCAATAAAAACATTAGGGACTAAGTCTCCAATGGGCTGCCCTGGGTAGAAATACAGCACACATGTTGCTACTTTTACACTGCTGGGGGAGGGATGTGTTCTGTTTGACTCTTTACAGGGGGCACAAGCATTAGGAAGCCTACACATGGATTTCTCCAAATTCCATCTGTGTCTCTTTCCTTATGATACAGCTGGGCATCCTCACTACTTCACTGTAATAAATCTTAGCCAGTAGTACAACCATATCCAAATGCTGAGTCTCATTAATCCTTCTAGCAAATATCCTATATGGGAGTGCTCTTGGGGACCTGAAACACAGCATTTTTTCAAAAAGCTCAGATTCTTACCTGCTGGTATGCGTCATAGATCACATCAAATAGAAAAGCCTGTGGCATCTCACTTGCTTTATATCTGGAACGCTCTAGTGAATGGTCTAAGCAACCATCAGCAGATGGACTGATGACAGTAGATACAAGAGGTCGAATTGCTCCTGCTGCCTAAAGAATAAAACAAAAAAAAGACACTAGTCACACAGTTATTTCACCTAGAGATTGTTTTAAAGGCAATCTCTGTATCTGACTTTCAAAAGCAGATCTTATACATAACTTCAACAAGCTACCTCAAAGAAATATTTGAGCAATTGTTTGTTGGGTTCACAAATCAAATCATTACTTCAGGTAAAATCCAGTCACATAGTATTACAGTTCCACATACGAAAAGGTGGAAGTAATTATTTTTTTTATTATAGGTTCAAATTATTTTTCATCATAGGCCACTGATATATTAAAATACTAACGAAGTATGCTACGATACAATTGCTATTCCCTGAAAAGGGTAGAAAAGGAGAGAGGACTATTGTGAAAGAATCGTAATGCATTACAAATTAATATTTACTAATTAGTGTGCCTTCAGAAGATGTAATTTACACATTAGATCATTAAGGAAACAGACATATCCCCTAAGATCCCAAAATGAGACTGAAATAACAATGAATTTATGTCTTGCTCTAATTCCTATGAAAAGCAGTTCTCTTCAAACACAACCTCCATGTCACACTTCCTCAGGCAAAATACCCATTGGTTTCAATTGTTCTCATGTAATAGATGCATTGAAACTAGAAAAGAAGACACCATCAAGTCTGTCCCCTTTATCTTTAATAACATTCTATTGTAATGCCTCCTTCAAGGTCATTATCAGACAGCTGCCTTGGTAAATTTGCCTCACAATACTGTTCTTAAGGTAGACAGCTAACTAAATCATCTTATATTGATTCCAAAATGCCCTTTTTTCCACATAATTCTTACATGGGGATTACAGCACATTAAGCTAAGGCATAAATACAACAAGTGTGGTCTTGAGAAGACCAACATCTGAGCAAGATAGGCAGTCCACAAACTAGTTTACAAAAGCCAAAGAATTGGCTGGAAATCAAAGCTAATGTATGAGCCAAGTAGACAGTTTACAAACTGTGTCACCATTTCCAGTGGATGAAATAGAAATTCGGAGCCTAGACATAAAAACAAAGATGAAGAGACAGCCAACGGTACCAGGGAGGGAGTGATGTCCAAGTAAGTGAAAGGGAGGGGAAGGAGCAAGCCCATCTGGTAAGCCCACCAGCTCTTAAAGGGGTTAGGAGATAAGATAGAAAAACTCATATACATATGTTGCTCTTTAAGAAAAAGAAATTCCATGACAACTATTTATAGATACTGTTGGGCTTCTATGCCAGATCATAAAATGAGTAAATATTTTACTAAAGAACACAAGACTTCTAAAACAGCAGTGTGAAATACTCCACAAACTCTCCCCCCAATGAAACAACTAGAACTGGTAAAGGGCAACTATTCCTCCAAGTTCCCAGCCAGGAGCTACAGTATCTGCCTAGAAAGGACAGCCTGCCAACATTTATCACCCTGCAGAAGCTAAATTCCAAACAAGTGTGACCAAGAGCTTTGGGAACTCCACATAGCAATAACCCCTCCCAATCCCAGCCACCAAATCATCTGTAGGATGGAGAAGCTACCCTAATCAAGGTAGACCAAGAATCCTAGAGCTTCAATTGCCCTGTCTCAGCTTGCTCATAGAACAAAGGTTTCATGCTAGGAGAGGCAAGCCAAGAAGATCAGAGGCTACTTGTTCCTTCCCAAACCCATGTTCATAAAGCAGAGATGTCACTTTGAAAGAAACCAGACACTGATAGAACCTGTAATTCCAGAGAAGAAATAGAATTTACCTAGGGGTAAAGACAAGCTATAATAACAGAGAGTTACAGTGCTCTCCCCAAGGGAATAAACTTTATTTAAAATATTTGGGGAAGTACAAAATGTAGGGCACTCTCCAAAGAAATGAAGATTGTGATGATGAGAAATTAGGAGGCTGACAGCTTCAGAAGAGCAACAACAGCTAAGGAATTGTTGTTGTTGTTGTGAAGTGCCGTCGAGTGGATTCAGAACCATAGTGACCCTGTATAGGGTTTCCGAGGAGCAGCTGGTGAGCTTGAACTGCCTGGTGAGCTTGAACTGCCAACCTTGCAGTTCAAACGGCTTTGCAGTCTGGCATATTAACCCACAGCACCACACCAGGCCTCCTTAATGTAACTTAACAGCTGGGTACGATACCAATGTTGTTATCAAGTGCCATCTAGTCAATTCTGGTTCATAGCGACCATATATAGGGTCTCCAAGGCTGTAAATCATTATGGGAACGGAAAGTCTCATCTTTCTCCCACAGAGTGTCTGTAGTTTTGAACTGCTGACCTTGCAGTTAGCAATCCAGTACTTATCCTACAACACCTGATATAAATAGAGGTAGGTAACAAAACAGAGAAATCCAGAAAAAAATCATCAATGAGCATTCATTCTATTAAAATCACTGTCATCTTAGGGTAACTCTAAATATACCCAATGCTGCACCTTCCTAGGAGCAAAATCTGAGGTTTCACAACATAAAGAGAAGAAACTTCACTAACATAGACTATCTGAGTCACAGACAAATGAACAACAATAAATTCTGGGGATGAGGGAGGGAGCAAATCATTACCCAGAGCTGATGAAATATATTACCTAAAATGTCTAGTTTCAACACAAAATTATGAGACATTCAAACAAGCAGAAAATACCATTGTGTTCTTGATCACATGGTACTTCTCGAAGTAGTTGAACATCAACCAAGTCTCTCTGGTATAGTGACTCTGTATTACTTCCATCTTCTTTTGATGCTGCCTGCGTCATTCATTTATCAGTATTTCAAGTTGGGGCTTAAGTTTTTTTCTTCAGTTCTATCAGCTTAAGAAATGCTTAACATGCTCTTCTCTCTTGGTTTTATGACTCCAAGTCTTTGCACATTACATTATAACACGTTACTTTGTCTTCTCGAGATGCCCTTGGAAAATTTCTGTTCAATTATTTTACTTTCTCATTTCTTATAGTTGGTTAACTTGTCTATATTCAAGAACAAGTTTTAGAGACTCTCCTGACATGCACTTTGGTTTCTTTCTTTCTTTCCTGTCTTTTTAATGACCTTTTGTTTTCCTCACATATAATGCTCTTGATATCAATCCACAACTCCTCTGGTCTTCAGTCATTGTCTAATATATCAAATCTGTTCCTGAGATGGTCTCAAATTCAGATGGGATACACTCAATGTCATATTTTTGCTTTAATGGACTTTCATTCTCTTTTATTTTTTTCAGCTTCAATCTGAACTTGCATAAAGCAGTTGATGGTCTGTTCCACTGTCGGCTCCTTGCCTTATTCTGATTGGTGATATTGAGTTTCTCCATCAGCTCTTTCCACAGATATGGTCAATTTGATTCTTCTGTGTTCCAACTGGTGAAGTCCACATGTATAGTCACCATTTATGTTGTTGAAAAAAAAAGGTATTTCTATGAAGTCATTGGTCTTGCAAAATTTTATCATTTAATACCCAGTATCGCTCCTATCAAGAAGGTCATATTTCCCAACTACCAACCCTTTCTCTTTCTTTCCAACTTTCACATTCCAATCACCAATAATTATCAATGTATCTTGATCGCATATTTGATCAATTTCAGACTGAAGTTGTTGGTGGAATTCTTCACTGCTAACTTTATGGTTGGTGTGTAAATTTGAGTAACAGTGGTATTAACTGGTCTTCCTTATACGCATATGGATATTATCCTATCACAGACAGAATTATATTTCCATTGTACATCTTTAAATATTCCCTTTTATGGTGAATTTAACAACATTCATCTTCAATTTACCATACCTGGCATAGTAAACCGTATGACTGTCAGATTCAAAATGACATTAATACATTTCAACTCACTAATGCCTTGATCTTTACATATTCCGTTATGTTTTTGACAACTTACAATTTTTCTAGATTCATACCTCTTACATTCCTCATTCCAATTATTAATTTTTACTGCTGTTTCTTCTCATTTTAATTGTGCTCCATCAGCAAATCCAGGCCCTTAAAGCTTTGTCCATTCACATCATAAAGGACAACTCTATTTTAAGGGGACAACTCTATCCTAGTCATATTTTGAGTGTCTTCTAACCTAGCGGCTCATCTTCAGGCACTATATCCGACAACATTCCACTGCTCTTCATTATTTTTCCAGTCGATGTCCTAGTCTGGTTCCTCTAGAGAAGCAAAAAAAAACAGTGAAGCTCATTAATGTATATGTGTAGAGAGGTTTATATCAAGAAAATGGTTCATGCAGTTGTAACAGTGGGTAAGTTCCAAGTCCATTGGTCTGATGTTAGGCTGGAAGCTTCTAAATCACATAGCTACAGGGCTAATGAACCAAGATTGGTAGGTCAGATGGCAGGGAGGCAACTCAGATAGGTAAGATGGACACCTACTGGTAACTCCTAGGATCAGAAAGCAATAGAGCAGGCCATTGGCTCAAGTCCAAAGAACAGGAGGTCAGATGATGATCCAGATGCAAAGTCCAGACTCAGCAGAAAGCAAGTAAGCTTTGCTCAAGTGTTCAATGTATTGGAAGCAGGCCACACCCGTAAGGAAACTTAATTTCAATTCATTGGCTGCTAATTGTAATGCTCATCATGGGAATTATTATGTCTAAAATGTCTAACCATTGAGAATCCTGACTCAGTCAAGTTGACGCAAAATCTTAACTATTATAATACAGTGGTTAACCATTCAGGGTTGGTCTGTTTCTCCTTCTTCTTACTATGTCTTAATCTGGAAGCTCCACTGAAATTTGTCCACCATGAGTGACCCTGCAAGGATTTAAAATACCAGTGGCATAGCTTCCTGCATCACAGCAACACACAAGTCACCACAGTGCAACAAACTGACAAATGAGTGGTCAATTCTACTTAACGTGAAATTTCCAAACAGAGTCAAAATGCTACCAAGTGATTTTCCACATAATCTTTAAAACATATGCTCAGAATACATGGCATAAAATTTGTCAAACAGTGGAGTAGAAAATATAATCTTACACATATTAAGATATATACACATTATGTTTAATAGAATTTCT